ACTCCAAGTCCATTGAACTTCAAATTCACCTTTGAACACGCCCACGGAAACTCAAACCTATGGTAGGATTTGAGGGAGGCATGGTCAAAAGGAGAAAAAAAAGTCATAATCACCTCTGATAATACGTGCACTTTTTGTGCATCACAGGCAGAACTTATATGATACAATTACAATTGCCTATTGAATAGATGCACCAAAAAAGCATCATGCCATCGAAGAAAAACAGTCACAAAATACAGAATAGACAGGGGAGAAAACAGTCTCATGCATCAGAGAGATTCCCATAGACCAAGTCATCATTCTCTGTAAAGAGTTAGATGTCCCTGTCTATCTTGTCGTCACTTGCAGGATACAGTTTCTTCATCCCAGAAGTATCAATGAACTCAAACCAATAATAGAAAGAATTAAGAGTTCTATGATCTGATAAGAAATTATTGGAGTTTAAACAGAGTGATCATTTGACAAAGTTCTAAAGGGTATTAATGTCAATAAAAATTGAACATTTCAACCCTTATAGTCAAATGACAGTAAACTAAAATATCAGTTACAGAGACATGCAATAAGAGTTGAACCAACATTTGATAGAACTAACGATGACCAGGTAAGCCTTCATAATACTGTTTTTTTATCTCTGTAAAGCTTTTACCACTGTAAAGCTTTAGGTTTATCTCTGAACCTTAAAAAACCTTTAGGTTTTATCTCTGTAAAGCTTTAGGTTTATCTCTGACCAGGTAAGCCTTCATAATACTGTTTTTTTTATCTCTGTAAAGCTTTTACCACTGTAAAGCTTTAGGTTTATCTCTGAACCTTAAAAAACCTTTAGGTTTTATCTCTGTAAAGCTTTAGGTTTATCTCTGTAAAGCCTTCATAAAAAACCTTTACTGTTTTTTTTATCTCTGAACTAACAATGACCAGGTAAGCCATCATCATGCAAATGGGAATCCACTAATTCCTACTTACTTTTATCTCTGTAAAGCTTTAGGTTTGCTACAAGACCAGTAGCTTATAAGATAATGGGATATGACAAAAACATGAACAATAAGAGTTGCATGGCATAGCCGACTATCAAATATAACAACAATAACGAGTTGCATAACAGATAAAACAAATGGCATTGCCTAGACCATATAGAAAACAGCATTCTAAAATAACAAATGACAGAAAACATTCACTATCTGTGATCACAGAAATCAACTCCATGGATGGACAGTGATCTTGACCACAGATTCCTATCAACATGCAAAATGCCAAAGAAAGGATATTCAAAACCAATGAAAGTGGAGTAACTTTCAACAGGTTAAAAGAGCCCTCAGTGACCGATTTAAAATCACACACACAGCTGAACTCCAAGTCCATTGAACTTCAAATTCCCCTTTGAACAACACCCCGGAAACTCAAACCTATGGTAGGATTTGAGGGAGGCATGGTCAAGAGGAGAAAGAGCCAAGGACTGGACAGGCAACTGCATTACAAGTGTCATACGGCACTTCCTATCAAGAGGCCATTTCATCTTCATTGGGATCCATAAACTCTTCAGAATTGATACCTACTAAATAATTAAAAACTTTCTCCAATTCACAATTTAAAGCATGACAAATAAAACATCAATTAAAATAACATGAATAAAATTTCTACATATTAGACTGCCAAAATATTTCACAGTGACAAGCTACAACAACCAAAAACATAAGCATTGCTTTGTGTATGCAATTCTTTATCCTTTGTGAGAAAACCAAAGAAAAAATAATACTCCATGTACAAAGAAGAATAAAGACTTCATAATACAATGCTGGATAATAGTATCAGCCTCAGACAGCCAGATCAATTGACATCATACAATAGGTTTATCAGTCGGTAATTCCAACTTTTATAAGCATATCATCATAAGCCGACACATACAACTTTTCTAAACATCCTAGTTCAGACGAGTAAAGAAGACCAGCATGCAAATTTTTAGAGTAAGGCACATCAGAAATTGTTATACGAGGTTTTTGATTAAAAAATGACAATTGCAAAGGATCATAATATCTCTACAAAAATGTGGACATCAAACAGATACTGAATAAATATCTGCTTTATGCACGTGAATACAAACAGCCTCATTTCCGAATATATTATTAACAATATTGATTCAAGAAGCGTATAGTGCAAAACGTAGATATATAATCAATTAAAAGTGTTTCGGAAGGCCATGACCATCATCAGATTGAACATGTTTTTCTCATCCACAACCCAAGGAAATCTTGGGCAGTGTAGGAAGGTGTCCTAAGATTACACTTCAAACTTTCATCATCTGACGCATTGCACAAATACTTCCACAGATCAAAATTGTGATAAAAAAACAAACTTCTCCATTGAAATCAAAGTGACAAAAGCAAGTAGATTCAGATTCAGAAGCAAAAGAAATGTTACATCAGTGGAATCTTTGATCCTCAGATCAAGTGTTGGATATAGATCTTTTTACTTCATCACTATCTTTTAGGTTGCAAATGATTCGAACATTTAGCTGAAAGAAAAAAAGTGTAAAAAGACGTACCATTTTTCCATCAAAATAATTATAATTTATCAAACAGATTAAATAGATCTTAAAAAATAAATAAAACATGAAAGTCTCAGTGATGGCGATTTTAAATAATGGTTCGACTCTGCCAGCGAGCGTCCTCAAAGTCGCATTTCCGAAGAGGGAGCTCTGTTATCTTCATGAGAGAAAGCTAAGTAACAAAACGCGTCAAAGCCGACCAAAATCCCTCAATCAATGAGAGGGAGATCTACAATCCGATTTATCAAACAACAACAACAACATGAAACCGTAAAGAGCTGCGAGTTTTACCGCCGTATCAAAACTCAATAAAGGAAGGTTTGATCTTCTTTTATTCGACGCACAAATCTCCGAGAAATAGTGATGTATAACACAAAATCGGCTAAAATATAGATTTTGAAAAATCTTTTTTGACGAAAAAGGAAACAACTCGCAAGAAATCAGCCACCCTCTGCCTCGGGCACCAAAGAGGGATAATTACATAGACGTAAGAACACAAAAAGCCGCATCAAATAGATGAAAATATAGATTTTTGAGAAATCACGAATGAAAACAAAAAGGAATGTGGGAGCTTGTTCAGTTCAGCGGGGCAGTCGACATACAAATCCCTCCAGAAAGCGAGACCTGCGATCCGGTCTGTTGAGCTTGAATTTTCCAGATTCGTCACAGCAACCTCCACTTTGATGGAGAGACAAGCAAAATCTCTAAATCTTATACAGAGCTTCCGCGAGAGGAAACCAAAAGACGCTGGCGAAACCAAACAAGATCACAGGAAACCCGAGGACAACGTTCGTCTCTCATGAATCCCTTATTTATATAGACCAAGAATTAGGGTTTTCCTCGCGGAGGTGGCGGCGGCGTTTGGAGATCTGGAGTCGAGTGTCAAGATATAGGGTTTACTGTGTTTAGGGTTCGATCCGGCCCGGTTTAATTGTTCGACCGGCCCTCGGTGTTAAGTCAGGATTCGGCGTGTGTATTACGTTATCTAAGAAGAAGTAAGATTCTTCCGATCAGATGAACCGGTTAATTTGAACGGTAAAATCTTAAACCGAGGTCGAAGCAGCCGAACCAGTAAACCGGGTTACTTTGTTTCGGTTCGGTCTTCAAATAGATATGTATCATGACGGCTCGTATTTATAGAAACCTTCATGTAAAAGCATGTGTAGATTTGAAGCTTTCGACTCCTCCAACTTGAATGAGCAAATTACGACACTTGAGAGTCAACAATGTAAACCAAAGACGGCCATCGTTGTTTGAATATTTTAGAAGCTTGAGTATATTCGGTGGTTTCACTACAAGATTGACCCCTATGCCAATGACATCGAACCCAAATCCGAGGAGGCCCAAAAGTGAGGTTTGAGCTCCATCCCAAGGAATGGATGATGAAGGCAGAGAAGGATTAGATAGACTAAAAAATGATGATAAGAGCGGAGTAAATACATTGATGGATGAGACCATAATAGTTTCTTACATCCTTATACTGAAAAAAGACTTGAATAACGAAATTAAGAAAATTTAAGTTTTTTTAAGATTCAAAATAAAAAAAAATAGAAGATAAAGAATAATTATTGAAGAAACTTTATTGAAGTAACTTTAACTTGAATATTAAATACATATTAAGAAAAAAAAATTTCTTCAATAGAATAAAAAATTTTCCTCGATCGAGTAAATATCGAGTAAAGAGATTTTCTAGAAAAATCTTATCTTCTCCCGCAAGATAATGCTCATGTCACCGATCTTGGATCGATGCATTGCTAAATACGACCCCAGTTAAGCAATTTCTTCTCATACCATGATACGTGTTTGGTGATAGAAGGTAATTATTTTGGTCGTATCAGTTGTCATTAACCTCTTCTTCGTGTTTGGTGAAAGGGAAAGATTATGGACTCGTCGTTTTCTTGGAGACTACCAACTATGTCTTGGTGGAGAAGATGAGTCATAATTCCCTTGTACTCCGAACTAATCCAAACCTGGAAGCTTCCTCCTCCTCTCTCACCATTGGTAAGATTTGATGCTTGTTTATGCGGCCAGGATGATCTGCACAGAAAGGGCTTGCAAACTGCAGTGCAGCACTTCAGCTCTGTGATTCCAGCAGCACCATGGGAAAGACAGCAGAAACTCTTGGGCCCAATTCCAGATGTGGTCCCTGCATTATTCCACCAACCTCTCTGCTTCTCCGTCATTCATGGTGAACTTGACATGGCAGCCAGTACCCTTCACTCCCAGCATTACCACTTCCCTCTCCCCGAGCTAGTCAAACTGAAGCAACAGATAAGCTCAGCTTAGTCTGACAGAATTAGGTCATGCTCCCCTGTCAAGCCTCAGACATGCTCCGAACAGAGCAGTAATCTTTCAGAGGATAATCTCTGCAGACAAACAAGCAATCATTACAGCCAAAGAGCCTTCACACCATGTCAGAGAAAAAGGAAATCGAGGAAAACGTATCACCAAAGAAGAAAACGAGGAGGGACTCGTTCGAGATCCTGCAGCAGGATTTCCTAACACTTGGTTTTCCTCCGATCACAAGGGGGCACTAATAGCTACAAACACAACCACCGAGGAAGGAAACTGCTAACTGCAACATCTCCTTCACAAGAGAGCAGCACACTACTCACACTGGCAGCAGGAGATGACACAACCAACCAAGTAGTCTGACATATCTACACATGGATTAGTCTACCACCACCTATGACCTCACTGGACTCCGAGGAAAGGATACTATGGAGCATGCTCACATAAGATTACAGGAATTGGAGTTCTCGTCACTGAACATGTTGGGCTGCATCAGCACCGGTGAGCTCGGGTCGGATGGACCAGGGTAGAACTCTGGCGGAGGAGGGTACGGCATGTAAACAAAGCCGTCTGAAGCCGGCGGCTTTGGCGAAGCATAGTAGGCTTGGGTAACGCTCGGTTCCGCCATGTTGTAGCTCATGACGTACGGCGGCGGCGGCGGCGGTGGGTGTGTCGGGTATGAGTACATGTGTTGTGGTGGCAGTGAACTGACGCTGCCAGCATTCGGATTCTTCCCAGCCTCTTCCGAGATCTCTTTCTGAGCCTTCTTGCCTTTCTTCTTGGCGCAGCCATTGTCGCCATTCGCTTCGCCGCCGGCGGTGGCGGCGGGCTTCTTAGGCTGCTGGGTGGAGGCGTCAGCCTTCTTTGTACCAGAACCCTGAGGCTCTTTCGTGGCGCTCTCTGACGGCTCTGCTGTGGTTTTGGTTTTGACTTGAGTTTTCTCAGCATCTGAAAGTTTTGCGACGGTGGTGTCGGTGGCGGAAGAAGCGGCAGGGTTAGGCTTGGAGGGGATTGGCTTCTTCTCGGACTTGCGTGACGGTTCTTCGGGTTTAGAGGATTCTCCGCTCTCCTTATTGCTGGTATTGACATTGCTGGGTTTCTGGTTGCTGGGTTTCTTCACCGGCCATAGCTCGGCGTGTTTCCCGGACTTCTCTAGCTTCCTAATGAGCGTTTCAGCGTCCACAATAGACTTAACGGTGACTTTGTGCTGCCCCGCATCGATATCCGTGTCATATACACCTGCAACGAAGAAGAAGAAGAAGAAGAAGAAGAAACCGGATGATTAGCCCAACAGAGTGAAGCTAAATGGCAAAAGAAAGCAGAAGAGCAAAATATTTTGGAAGTTACCTCGAATGCTTTTGAGGATTCTATAAACCTTCTTCTTGCATCCTTCACAATGGATGGATACTCTCAACACCCAGGTCTGAAGCCATCAAATATTTCATTCGAGCACCAAAAGTGTGCAGGCAAAACAGCATGGTTAATTTTCATTCCAAAAGCTTTTAGAAGGAGAATTATGGAGGGATGGATGGTAGATTAGTACCTTGCATGTGAGGGATTCTGATGGTTCTTCTCCGGTAGCCATGGCAGAAACTTAAAAGTGGAGGATGGATGGGTGGATGCAAGGAGTGGAAAGGAAGGTGAGAGGGAAAGGAGCGACCTTTAGAGGTGAAAGATATAGTGGGGGGTGCCAAAGGTTCCTGAGGGACATGATGACAGCCAGTGAGCGAAAAAGGATCATAAGAGAGAGAGAGAGAGAGAGAGAGATCTGGTTACTGAAAAAGGGTGAGGTGGGTCTCTTTTGGTAGATTGTGACGGGGAAGCAGAGATTATAAATAATGCGAATAATAGGATTGACATTTATGATCATCTATCTCAAAGAAGAGGTGAGACAAGTTGTGATGGTCCAGACCAGTTTGGATGTTGATGAAAAATCCAGCATTAATATTTGTAATATGAATATTTTTATCCGCATATATAAATATGGGATACATACTATGTAACAATTTCGAAATAAGGTTGCAAACTGAGAATACTTACAAATTTGAGATTTTCTTTTTGATTAATCATCCTCATTCAATATATATGTTTAACAAATATATTAACTAATTTAATTTATAAAATATTTTATTAATCGTCGTAACCTCAAATCTTATTTTCATCACTTAATTTTGTAATAAAAAATAAAAAATATATGTGTTCAAAAATGTATAAATTTTAGATGTATTTTTCTTTATATATATATATATATATATATATATATATATATATATATATATATATATATATATATATATATATATATATATATATATATATAT